AAACAAAAACCTGGTGGTAATGGGGGTTGGGAGCGGGGGCAGAGGGGAGTAGAACAAAGTCCTCAATATTTCTGAACGTTTTCAAAGAGGACAAGTTAGACTTGTTCTGTGTGACCTCTGTGGTCAGACCTGGGAATAACAAGTGAGGCTTCCATGAAGCCAGAGCTCAACCCAGCATGAGGAATAACTCCCCCGAGTTAAACCTGTTCAACATTTGTAACCGGTTGCATCGGGAACTCATGCATGCCCTGCTGCTGGATGTGTTTTAAAGGGAGACTGAACAAGCATCCTATCTAATAAAAGAGAAACATGGTAATTAACGTACCACCGCTACCCTTCCCATTGGCTAATCAGGGAGATATGCAAATTAACTGCCAGACAAGATGGCGGCCGGCAGCCAGGCAGCTTGAAACTAACATGAAGCTTGCTTGCTTCAGTGACGGAGGAAACCAGTGTTCCCCGCCTGCCGCTGCCGGCCTCTGAGCCTGCAGTTTGAAACATTGTAACAAATATAGAAGCTAAACAAAACCCCAGAAACCTGATTTAAGCGAGCTGGGATCTCAGAGCTGGAGTTATACATTGTTTCGATTATAGAACCCAAACAAACCAGATACCTGCTTTCAGCAGCAGAGGCCCCAGAGCTGGAGCCAGAGCTAAAGCTGGCCCAGAATAAAAAAAAAAGAAAAAAAGGAGCAGTTGGGAGCTTCAGCCCTCAGCCCCTCACCCAGACTGGCCAGGCACCCCAGTGGGGACCCCCACCCTGAATGGTGTGTGATCAGCTGCAAACAGCCATCATCCCCTCACCCAGGCTGGCCAGGCACCCCAGTGGGTGCCGGGAGCCAGTCCATCCTTGCTGTTTCAAAGGACCTGGCATATATGGCATATTGTTCTTAATATGTTTGCTCACCTTCTTGGCACTATGTGTTTTAACCAAGGTCTCTGAGAAAGGTTGTTTCCCCAGGTAGGGATTTTCCCCTGAAGTTAGGGAGGGAATAAAACCTCTTAACTAGTGCCAGGTGGGTAATTAATCACTTTAACTATGAACAATCATGCTTAAGCTACATAATCTTTACTCCCTGGAATGGAGATAAGAAACGCCCTAACCTTTGTAATAGAGATTGATAGGATTGAATCAACTGGTATAAATACAGATGTCATAAGACAGCAAGACACAGAACTTAGAATACGGAACCAAGAGAGACAGAACTTAGAACACAGAACTTAGAACTCAGAACTTAGAATACAGAGCTTAGAACACAGAACTCAGAAGACAGAATGAAGAAGACAGAACACACAGAACTAGAGACAGAAGAACTTCGCTGGAGAGAACATGGCAAAAGATCCTGGACTGAACCTGACTACAGAAATGGGCAAGAGAACCTGACTAGAACCTGATGACTGAACCTGGCTGGAGAACCTAGTGAGGGAACTTGGCTACAGAACCTGGCTGGAGAACCTGGAGAACCTGGCTGGAGAACCTAGCAAGACAACATGGACACAGAACCTGTCTGGAGATCCTAACCAGAACTTTGCTGGAGATCCAGACCAGAATTTGGCTGGAGATCCTGGCTAGAGATCCTGGCTAGGCTGCTGATGAACTGAATGCTGCCTCCGTGCCCTTCCTTCTTCGCCGACTCCGTCCACACCTTTGGGGACCCCTGGACCTGCTGGGGTTGGACCCCGGCATCTGGCGCCCGAACAGGGACCCCTTAGGTAAGCCCCACTCTCGGGATGGATAGGACTCCACCGTAGGAAGAGGGTGGATAGTCTTCGCCGACTCCGTCCACACCTTTGGGAAGCCCTGGAACAGGATTCCCCTAGGTAAGCCCCCCCCACTGAGAACCCCCACATTCGGGACGGATAGGACTCCACCAGGGTACTGCAGACCCCCCTATAGAGGATAAGTAGGGTAAGAAGGTGGATAGTACAGAACTTAGATTGAGAAGATGTGCCATACTGAGTCCAAAGAAAGAAGACTCTGTATTGATCTTTAGACTAAGAAGATGTGCCATACTGAGTCTAAAGAAAAAAGACTCTGTATTGATCTTTTAACACATATGCTTGCTAGCAGAGGAATTAAGGTTACTCCCAGTCAGACAGAACATTTTATACAAGAAGTATGTCCATGCTTTTCTGAGGAAGGAAAGGTAAATGTAAAGGCATGGGAGAGGGTAGGCCCAAGGAGCCTTATCCTTAACCCCACTGCAGCCTTTCCACCCCAGGAAAGTGCAGGATTGGCAAGCTCTCCCTGGGGTGATAGATCAGGACTCAGGTAATAGCGGAAAGCGCCACTCCTACTCTTAAAATGGATACAAGAGAGCATTTGGGGTTTTTCTTTTTAATGCCTGCTTTTAAAAAATAAAAAAGGGGGAATTTGCCGGGAGCCAGTCCATCCTTGCTGTTTCAAAGGACCTGGCATATATGGCATATTGTTCTTAATATGTTTGCTCACCTTCTTGGCACTATGTGTTTTAACCAAGGTCTCCTCTCTGAGAAAGGTTGTTTCCCCAGGTAGGGATTTTCCCCTGAAGTTAGGGAGGGAATAAAACCTCTTAACTAGTGCCAGGTGGGTAATTAATCACTTTAACTACGAACAATCATGCTTAAGCTACATAATCTTTACTCCCTGGAATGAAGATAAGAAACGCCCTAACCTTTGTAATAGAGATTGATAGGATTGAATCAACTGGTATAAATACAGATGTAATAAGACAGCTAGACACAGAACTTAGAATACGGAACCAAGAGAGACAGAACCTAGGCACAGAACCTACACAGAACGTTCTCTAGAGACAGAAGAACTTCGCTGGAGAGAACATGGCAAAAGATACTGGACAGAAACTGGCCTCAGAACCTAGAGACAGAACCTAGCGAGAGAACATGGCAAAAGATCCTGGACTGAACCTGACTACAGAAATTGGCAAGAGAACCTGACTAGAACCTGGTGACTGAACCTGGCTGGATAACCTGGACAGAACCTGGCTGGAGAACCTAGCGAGGGAACATGGCTACAGAACCTGGCTGGAGGACCTGGAGAACCTAGCAAGAGAACATGGACACAGACCCTGGCAGGAGATCCTAAGCAGAACCTCTCTGGAGATCCAGACCAGAACTTGGCTGGAGATCCTGGCTAGCCTGCTGATCAACTGAACGCTGTCTCCATGTCATTCCTTCTTCGCCGACTCCGTCTACGCCTTTGGGGACCCCTGGACCTGCTGGGGTTGGACCCCGGCAAGTGGGGACCCCCACACTGATCCAGGACACCCTTCAGGGCAAACCAGCTGGCACACACCCGTGCACCAGGCCTCTATCCTATATAGTAAAAGGGTAATATGCCTCCCAGCACCGGGATCAGTGGAGCCGCGAGGCCTCCCAGCACCAGGATCAGCGTGACAGGGGGCAGCGCCCAAACCCCCTGATCGCCCTGCGGCTGGCTCTGTGTGTGACAGGGTGCGGCGCCCCAACCCCCTGATTGGCCCTGCTCTGTGTGTGACAGGGTAGAGGCATAACCTCCCCATCGGCCCTGCCCTGAGTGTGAGAGTGGCGGCACCCCAACCCCCTGATCCGCCCTGCTCTGTGTGTGACAGGAGGTGGTGCCCCAACTCCCCTATTGGCCCTACTCTGTGAGTGACAGGGGGGAGCTCCTCAACCCTCTGATCGGCCCTGCTCTGTGCGTGACAGGGGGCAACGCCCCAACCCCCTGATTGGCCCTGCTCTGTGCGTGACAGGGTACAGAGCCCCAACCCCCCTGATGGGCCCTGCTCTGTGCGTGACAGGGCAGCGCCCCAACACCCGGATTGGCCCTGCTCTGTGCCAGGGTGTGGCGCCGCAACTTCCCCATCGACCCTGCCTTGAGTGTGACAGGGGGCGGTGCCCCAACCCCCCAATCGGCCCTACCCTGAGCGTGACTGAGGGTGGCATCGCAACCTCCCAATCCGCCCTGCTCTGTGCATGACAGGGGGCGGCGCCCCAACTCCCCAATCGGCCCTGCTCTGAGCCCGACCAGGGGCTGCACCTAGGGATTGGGCCTGCCCTCTGCCACCCGGGAGCAGGCCTAAGCCAGCAGGGCGTTATCTCCCAAGGGGTCCCAGACTGCGAGAGGGCACAGGCCAGGCTGAGGAACCCCCCTTCCCCCGAGTGCACAAATTTTTGTGCACCGGGCCTCTAGTGTATTATAACTCACTTTAGATGACCTCAGAAGGCCCTGCCTCTGAGCATGTCGATGATTAAAGCATTTCTAGACTATTTTTCAAAACAGTAAACTTCTCAGCTTTCTCCTGTACTGTTTTTGCAGCCTGACTTGGTACAGTGATAGATATTCAATGGTGTGTATATTGCAGAACTTCTGTTTTGAACCTAAGTTGTACAAATTCTGATTTTTCACTTACAATGTGACAAGATGTTTAGCACACCAAGTTAGGCTTTGAGTATTTCTCTGAAGTGGATGTCATTTACTTGTGTATAATACTTGCCAAAGATTACACTGAATTTGTACTATATTCCTGCCAATACTTTTTCTAAACCACATTCTACGATAAAAATTTTTGATAAGTTTACAGAGGAATGTATCTATACAAGGGTACCTTGGAATGCTCCCTTTTCTTTTAACAGATTGTACTCAAATTTACAGCATAAATTTGTTTCAGGAAGGATATAATCTATTCACTTTCTGAGACCATATAATTAGTTCTTTAACTTAGTTCTGAGAACTGCCTTCTATTTTTGCCCTGTTTTTGTAGTACATATTCAAAGTTTTAATTTTTCAACATCATCAATAGAAAATTAACTGGATATATATTGCAAACCTCTAGTTTGCTATTTTAAAGATATTAAAAAGCATTTATTTTTGTTAGTTACCATCACTAAGTCTTTCTGACATTCATGAACAAAGTAGAAATAAAAAATAGGAAAACTTTCTATTTTCAGTTTTAATCCTCTAAAGTTTACCTAATAATTCAGTGGGCATACTAATTGAAAAGAAATACTTTTTTTTTTTTTAGGTGTAATCCCTTTTCATGGATTTTCAATGTATGGTAAGTTGGGCTTAAAAATATTCACTGTTTATTACACTTTAGAAAATTAAACATGAAGATCACACTTTATAGCACATCACCACACACAAGTGATCATGAACATTTTAAACATTGAGTTTCGTATTTGTTTATATGTCCAATGGAAAAAACAATGTCGTCATAATTGCTCAGATGGTGATTGCTTGACAAACTAGAATTAAAACAAACTGAGACTCATAGACACAGACAACAGTGTGGTGGTTACCAGAGGGAAGGAGGGTAGTAAAGGATACAGGGGGCCAAATATATGGTGACAGAAGATTGTTGTCCCCACTATTGCTGCCCCCAACCTTTAAGCTAAACAGAAATACCTTAATGCTTTACTGTTGTAAAAAGAATCAGCAGTAAATTAATACTTTTCTTTGTAAAAAGGCCCTCAGTCCTACATCAGATAATCATGGTGAATGATGTAACACAAAACGTTGAAAACTAGCCTTCAGTGAAACGGAGCCAAGGGGCCTAGGACCTTTGCCTTATGCTCTCCTTGGTGGTGTGGCTGGGGTGACTGATGCCGTAATGTAATGTTGCTGTGCACACCAGTAGGCTGGGGAAATTGTGGATTATAAGGCGCTCTGCTTTATCTCTGATAAATATGTGAGGAACGTAAAATAGAAAACCTACAAAGGCTAAGGACATAAATTTTACTTCTAATAATAAAAAATGCTAGCCCTTTTGTCCTATTTTAATAATTTCAGCTGTAAGCTTGTACTTGAATGATTTGGAGGCAAATTAATGATGTCAGAAAGTTTAAATCTTCTAACACTTCTCAGAGCACAAAATGCATCAACTCCTGATTGTTCACATTTCTAGTCATTGAAATAGTCTAAGGTTTATACACACAGGGAGAAAATGTTTGCTAAGGAAATAGATGATGCTATAGATTTTAAGTATACTACTTTAGAAAAATATGTTAAGCATCCACAAATATTTGAGCCGCAGCACTTATTTAGTTAGAACCAGTAGAATAGAATAATCAAAATTCAGCCCCCCTCAGGAACTCTAGTTAGTCCCTTACCACTTCAGTTTTAGTTACTGTCTTTCTTTCAAATTATAATATGTATGTCTTTTAAAATTTGATTAAAACTTTCCTCTAATTTAAACTTGTCTATGAATGAATATTACTATAAGAGATGGACTTACTCTTTCATTTTCATGAGTTTATCTTTTAAATTTTAGTAGTTCTGCAATATTACCAGTGATTTTTTTTATTCTTTCAGTTGCACCACTTTGTTTTCTATACAATGAACCTTCCAAATTGTATCAGATATTCCGTGAGATGTATGTGCGTTTTTTCTTCAGACTTCATTCCATCTCTTCTCATCCTTCTGTAAGTTCATAAAAAACTGGGTCAAATCAGACTCTAATCTGTTTTTTATTCAAGAAAAAGTCTCTTACTCAATTAAACTATAAAACAACAAATTTTCACTTCTGATGTCACCAACAAGGTTCTATCAAATAAACAAAAGAGAAGAAGAAACCGATATTTAAATATTTTGGTAATAATTAAAATGGGAAAAGTCCTTTATCAATTGCTTTTAAATGATCTTTTCTGTGTTAAAAGAAAAACATAGAAATGTCTGTATTATCCTCTTTGGCAAAAATGCCCACCTTTCTTGAAGACTGATTTCCTCAGCTGTGGAATGAGGTTCACCTATGGAGTTGTGTTTCTGTAGCCTGCAGAGCTGCAGCGAAGCCGACAGAGCACCGGGTGGCACTGGCTCATGGCAGGTGCCCAATAAATGCCGCTGTTTTTATTGCTATGATTATCGTCATCACCTCTTCTTTGTTGTTAATGAAAATCAAAAAATGTATTTGTCACTTATTTTTCAGTTTCATGTTTGGCTAATTCTCAGTTATCATACTAGATATTTTTCTTGTATTTATTCAATAGGTAGCTCCTTTGGCCTCAGTATGAAAATCAAGGAGATGCAGATTGGGCATTTTTACCTGTCTTATTTTGGCTGGTCCTTTGTTGTATCTTCTCCCTGCCATGAGCCTGAGTAAAAGCAGTGCTTATTTTCAGTTCCACTTTTTCCCACCTCTGGGCCTGTTTTGAACAACCTGACTTACTCTCCGGAAGAAACATTAGATTGGAATGTGTCGGGGCTACCAGATTTCCCCAAAGAGGCAACCATCACCGCTGCTAAACTACATGGTTGTCCTTTATCCCCCCAGCAAACTCTGTATTCTTATCCCCTTCCTCCACCTCCAGTTTGCTCTCATGCATCACTAGTGACAGCTGGCAAATAACAGAAACCAGGGCGTCACCGATGCACAAAGGAGGCACCACAGTTACCCTAGTTTCTTCTCTCTGAGACACCTTGACTTAGCGCTTATCTTACATGAATGCTTAATCTAGAATCCTCTGAAATATATGAAGAATTCTCTTTTCTAATGCTTCATTCTTAGCATCAGATTTCTTCCACTCAGATTCTATACCATTTTATGCTTCAGAGTTTTGACCTGGCTGCTCAGTACACACCCATGGGTTTTCCCCTGCAGAGCTCCGAAGCTCAACACTGAGCCGTCTGGGTATTCCTCTGTCTCCACACTGACCCGGAGGTGTCCTTTTTCAGCTAATTGATTGGGCCAGCCCTGCCTCTGCCCTTTCTTTATTCCATGAAATAAAGACTTAGAAGTGGCCGGCTCCTTTTCTGGCTTGCAGCTAGACTGAATTATTTGGAACCATTACAGCCCTTTTTCTTTAGAAATTCAAAAAGAGGATTAAAAGTTCCTTACTAAAATCAACCCTGAGGAATGCTGAGCTGCAAGAAAGACTTTATTCAGAGTTGTCAAGTAAAAAATGCACTTGCAAGACCATCTGCTTAAATTGGTTACTTCCCGTACTCTACAAATAATGCCCTTTTAGGAAAGTAGATTTCAGTAAAAAATAATCTTTATATGAAATAAAAAATCTTGTTTGATAACTTTCTGGTGCAAATCTCAAGCAGTCAGCAATCAGTCTTTCCCTGTGGATGGATTTCAAAGAAAGTGGAAAAAATCAGGAAATTCTTTCCCTGATGGGTGAGGCAGCTGGCAGGGAAGAGCTGTGTGGGGGGAGAAAGTAAAGGGTGTGGCCGTGGCACCAGAGAAATACCTGGAAACTGGCATGCTTCCAGAAAAAACTAATTTGCTGGGCCTAAGTGATAATGCATGGCTTACAAAGTGGCAGCTTTTCTATAAAATGATGTTTTCTTTGGACTCTGAATATTACATCCCAAGTTATGTGGGAGCCTATTGTGTTAAAAGGAGGCTCCATTGCATATCTGTAAGAGTAGGTTTCCGTAAAGAGGGATAAAATGTATCTTTAAATACAATGTTGGAAATCATTAGTGTATGTCCTGTTTTTGACTCTTAAACAATATAAAGAATATGTTGACAAAAATATTTATGTTGATACTGGTTTTCTCGTTTTCATTTGAATAATTTATCAGCAGAGTTAATTTTTAAATACTAAAATATGTATTCCTCTTGTGACTTATTATTGTTTGCAGGGTATTGTGTCACTCTGTTTGCTATTTGAGACTCTTCTTCAAACTTACCTCCCCCAACTCTTTTATCATCTACGAGAAATTGGGGCTCAACCGTGAGTATTTTTCTCTCCTAATTGAAGAATAGATTAGTTGACATTAGAAGGTTCCTTTTCATCATTGTAAATCACTTGCAAAGATGAAGTAATTTTTCAGAGAAATTAAACTAACAATTTTTCCCTATAAAACAATTATGAAGTAGTAAATTGTAAGTCTGCATTGTACCAAAAATTCTTGGAAGGATTATTTGCTAGGATTTTTGTGCCTGGTACAAGAATCACTAAAATGAACTAATTTCTATTCCTAATGAAAGGTGTTGGCCAAAACTAAAGCAAAAGTTTATGGGGCAAATACTAAAATTAAGTCAGTTCAGGCTAAATTGATCAGAGAGCACTTTATGAGAGCTATGTAAGTTTAAAATTTGCTGTCTTGTTAAAGGAAACTAAGTCAGTTACCTATCAATGGTTGTACACTGTGATTTTTCCTTCCAAAAGTTGGAATATTTGTTCATATTTCTCAATATGAGTTATCAGTGAATATGCAGGATACCTCTGTACCTAAATTTTATTGGTTCTCTTCTCTCTCTCTCTCTCTCTCTCTCTCTCTCTCTCTCTCTCTCTCTCTCTCTCTCTCTCTTAAATAACAGTGTATATAAGGCAACAGAAATTTCTAAATGACTTTACAATGTTTTGTTAACTATATTCTCTGTGCAACTATTTCCCCCTATTCAAGAGGGCATATTTGAAAGGAGCATTAACTCTCTGAGGCCACAAAAGGCGTTAATGAGAAATGGGACAGTTTAGTGTTTATCTTCTCCACACTTAAATCCACAGCAGATGGATGGATGAGTGGGTGGGTTTAAGAGACAGACCCAGATTCAAATTCTAACTCTGCTAAATTATATAATCCTGGTAAAGTTATTTAAATTATCTAAGTCTCAATTTCTTTCTTTAAATCAAGATAGTTTATATTCCTCATTTTTTAAATCAAGAGAATTTTTACCTCATGCAGTTGTTTCATGATTGAATGATTAGATAGCTAGCTCGCTAGCTAAATAGATAATATATAGATCTCTTTCTTTGTCTCTCTGTTTTTTTCTATAAAGCACCACTGAATTTCAGACTTCTTAGACCTTAGGACTGCCATTTATAAAAACAACATCTCATATCATACACTGATAATACTAGGTTGATATTCTTTCCTTGGTAGCCATTAAAAAACAGGAATCTGTTAATGATAAAGATTATAAAACAAGAATGTGATAGAAATATTGTATATTGAATATAACTAGACTTTACTAGAATGAAGACAGTTGATTGCTAGAAACTAAAATTCTGATATTTGATATTTTTTCTAGCCTATTTATACACTTTAATCATTAAAAGTAAATTTATTTTAGTGACTTAGGATAAACATTAAAATACTTATGCAGGAAAAAGTATAAAAATTCATTTGTCAAGCTAGAAATAAATTATTTAAAGGCTTTCATGAATTAAAACTGATAGTGTTGGAAGGCTTTTAATTCAGTATTTAATGTCTTTAATAGATATAGAACTATTCAAGTTACCTATTTTTTCTTGATTAAGCTTTGGTATTTGGTTCATTTTATCTGTTATCTTATTTATGGACATAAAGTTACTTATAATATTCCCTAATTATTCCCAATTAGCCTTTTGGTATCTATAGACTAAGAGTGACTTCACCTCTCCCAATCCTGAGATTGATATTTATATCTTCTCTCTCTTTTTTATCCTGCCTAGAGCAATGGTTCTCAACCTTCTGGCCCTTTAAATACAGTTACTCATCTTGTGACCCCAACCATAAAATTATTTTTCTTGCTACTTCATAACTGTAATTTTGCTACTATTATGAATCATAATGTAAATATCTGATATGCAGGATGGTCTTAGGTGACCTCTGTGAAAGGGTTGTTCAACCCCCAAAGGGGTCGCAACCCACAGGTTGAGAACCGCTGGCCTAGAGGTTTATTAATTTTATTATTTTTTGAAAGAGCCGGTTTTGGGTTTTATTGATTTTCTCTATTGTTTTTCTGCTTTAAATATCATAGCACACACTCTTCTACTTATTATTTTCTTCCTTATGATTGCTTTAGGTTTATTTTGCTCTTGCCTTGCTACTTGTTTAAGATGAAAGTTAGATCAGTGGTTTGAGAGCTTTTTTCTTTTCTAATAATGTTATCAATTGCCCTCAAAAGACTGCTTTACCTCTGTCCAACAAATTTTTGTGCTTTCATTGTCATTTAATTCAAAATATTTCTTAATTTCTCTTGTGACTTTCTCTTTGACTATGGGTTATATAGAGTGTGTTGTTTAATTTCAAAATATTTATAAAAATCTATCATCTTTTTATTGACCAGAGGCCCGGTGCACAAAGTTCGTGCACGGGGGCGGGGGGGGGGCGGGGGTGGGGTGTCCTTCAGCCCAACCTGCACCCTCTAGCAGTCGGACATCCCTCTTGCAGTCTGGGACCCCTTGCTCTTACAGCTCAGCTTACTGCTCCTGAGCACTGCCTGGCTTCTGGCTGAGCGGTGTTCCCCCTGTGGGAGGACACTGACCACCAGAGGGCAGCTCCTGCATTGAGCATCTGCCCCCTTATGGTCAGTGTGCATCATAGTGACTGGTCATTCTGGTAGTTCCGCCATAATGGTCGCTTAGGCTTTTATTGTATAGATTAGAGGCCTGGTGCACTAATTCATGCACGGGTGGGGTCCAGTCAGCGGTGGGGGGGGGGGGGCTGTAAGTGGTTGGCCAGCCGGCCCTGCCCCCATCAGGTTGGGGGAGGCGATCAGGGTCAGGGCGGGCTGGGGGGAGGGGAGAACACAATGTGGTAGTTCTAAGAAGATGCTATGAGAGATCCAGTAAAATGAGATTAGTTGAAGTTAATAATTTAGACTTAAAAATCAAATGAATTTAAAAATTTTAAATATCCAGTGGCCAGAAGTTTCTTTGGCATCTCTAAAGAGTATTTTAAAACCAACCAAAACACCTAATTTGTCAATATTATTTTGTACTTTGTATTTTATTCTATTAGAACAATAGTTTTCTCTTTCATATTGAGAAATTTCTGAAACTTTGGGTCTTTTTCAGTCTTACAAGAATTAATATGACACCAACAAAGACAATATCTGGGTCCCTTTCTCTTGCTTTAAGAAAATAGCACAGATATTTACCTACATAATAGTATAACAGTTCCATCAAAGAGTTTGTCTAGCACCTCTCAGGGGCAGAAAAATGAGGTTTATATAGTAATGGATAGTACAGAAGGGATCAAGCCAAAGAGTTCATTTCCTGATTCCAGAGATAAATTGTTGTAACATAACCTGCTTATAAATAGTGGGCTCTCATCCTCTTAGGGTGTTGTTTTTTTTTTGCGGGGGGTGGGGGGGGGCGGTGGAATTTAACTGTGTTTTCTGATCGATCTTTCAGAGTTCTGACAACCCTTCCTCTTTAAAATGAAGTGTTTGAAATTAGAAATCTATTTCTCAATTCCCTTATAACTTTAAAACTATTTTTCTTTGTCTTTAACAATTCCTTTTATTCATCCTATGTAGCCATTTGACTGAGATGTAGGAGTGTAATTTATTGAGTAGGAAAATTATGCAGCTATCAAGCACCCTTTCAAGTATTTTGAAAAAAAAAATTCCAATGATCATGGCTTGCCTGAAACTGTCAATACTCCAAGATCAATTCACTGATAGCTAATTAGTACATACCCTGAAAAATAGAAGGTAGACATGAGTCTTCGAAAGGCTGAACTGTAGCACAAAGGAGGATCAAGCAGATATAATTCTTCCTCTCAATACTTTGAGACCAATCATTTTAAGACTCGTGGTGTTATAAATGCCCAGGCGATTTCTGAGATTCATTTAACAACAGAAGTGGTTGGGCTCTTCTAACCTTTTGTAAGATAGCGCCTTTTCGAAAGAAAGGAAAAAAACCACTGGTAAAATTTATTTATTTTTTCTTTGCTTACAGACTTCGCATATCATTTAAATGGATGGTTCGAGCTTTCTCCGGATACTTAGCTACAGATCAACTCTTGCTTTTGTGGGATAGAATCCTAGGATACAACTCTCTAGAAATTCTTGCTGGTAAGAGGAAGTGCTTATTTGTAAAATACATGCTGTTTATATAGTAAAGCCCCTTTCCTTTCTAACATTCACCATCTGTCATTCGAGTTTAAGTCTACACTTATCTGTCATTGTTAATTCATGGAAGGCAAGTACTGAGGTTCTGTGATCTAGATACTTCTGTGTAACTGCCCAACACCAGTCTGTTCCTAGTCTTTCTTTTTGGCTCCCAGGAAAGTCCGTTTCTCCCCCTCCACCACTATCAGTCCAACCAGGGCTTACCGTCTCAGCACCTGGCAGACCTGTGCAGCAGTGTAGGTACACACTCCACCCTGGATTCCTCTGACTGTCTTAGTGTTGTTCTGTGCTCCATCTCAACTCCTGCCTGAAATCCTAACTGACACTGAGCGTCCCTGCGCTTCTGGACTTCAACTTACACTGAATTCAAAACCTTTTCCTTTTTGCTAATGGTCTCTGACTCCTGCCCTGGTGGCAGAATTTCCTTTTAGGTATTCTCTTAAACCAAAAATATTTTATGGTTGTTTTTTTTCAGGAAGTCAGATTCACCTCTCATTTAATAATTTAGCAGTTCTTACAACAGATATTACACAAGGCAGCTGTTTAACACATAGAGCACAGGTTCTTACTGATTATATTATTTTGCTTCTCTTGTACAAAGTAGACTCAGTTATTTTTATCATTGGTATTATCAGAAAATTCAAATAAATATTACAAGGTTTTTATAATAATGGATGGAAAGCAGAAAAGTAGGCGGAGTATTGGGTCCAACCTTCTCCAGTTGTGTGATATTGAATAAACTATTTAACCTGTGTAAGGCTTTGTTTCCGTATATTATATCGCTAGGATAGTAAGACACCTTTCTGGGCTACTGTGGAAATAATGCTTAAGTGAAGATGTTTTTCTTGTCAAAGATTCTCTAGGGACCATATTAACATATTATTGACTGCTGAGAGGTCTAGAGTAATTGGGTGGCATTTTGAAAAGGAAAATTAGAGTAATAATAAAATGTCATAAGGAGAAATATTACCCCAGTGTATTCAGAGATATCACTGATGTTTCCTATCTCAATGGTTTTTAAAGCCCATCTAAATATGAGGAGGAAAGAATGGTCTGCCCTCGTCTCCTTTGGCTGAATGAAGGGACACATATAAACTAAAGATAGAAGAGGTCTCAGAAGTCCTCAGGTATCACCTCTTTCACGCGTTTCTCTCCGGCAGTCCTCATCCCCTGAACACTTTGGTGCAGGGTAGTCCCTGTCTTACCAGGTCGCCCATTTCATTTCTGGATGTTACGACTTGCTAAAATGTACGACCAGTAAACCAGAGTCATCGGCATGGTTTTTCTACTCTCAGAAACCCCTCCTTTCCCCAAAGTCTTCTGTTTTCCCAGCTAAATGGACTTGTTTTCCCGGCTAAATGGACTTGTTTTCTGCTCCTCTTGCTCAGGCATCAGGATTTTAGTCTTTCCACCAAATAACTCTCCTCAGTTTGGGTCCTAAGTTTGGAAAGTATTGTATATAGCTTTTTGTCTCATTTCAAAAAGATATTAGAGTGTGTTAATGAAAGGGGTTCAGTATAAGAAAGTACTCTCTAATAATTAGGACTTTCCAAAAGTAGAATGGGCTTTTTAATTGTCACCTGAAGGGTTGAAATTTCTACTATGAAAGAAATGCTGAATTAGAAGGCCTTCAAGGTCTCTTCCAATTTAAATTTTCTCTTTTTGTGACTTATCGCCCTTCAGGAAGCTGAAGTAAAAGCGGCATAAATTAATATTGAATACTGCATTTGCTCTAAGCAGGCACATGCTATGAACTCAGTACCTTAAGTAAAAAGTTACTGATGAATAGGTAGAAATTCAGTCCACACTGTTGCAGCCATCTACTCTTCCTGCGTGGTTTTTAAAAATCAACAGGGAAGAATTATAGACCATGTAGAATGGCACTACACTGAGGGGTGCTCCCACCATGGAATGCCAATCAAGAGCCATGGGGCAGATAATTTCAGGTAGATGGATCAAATTAGTTTTGATTATTTAAAATATTTTCTTATTTTTTTTGTTATGAATATTTGGGATCCACCTTTTTTTTGCTCAAATGAGTTATTAAATATAGTCCTTAGAGATATTTTAGTAAGTTAATACTTACTAAAGTATTTAGTAAGTAAATACTTACTGGCTTTAGTTGTGAATTAATTAGAGCCTTTTGTAGAACAGTTTAAAGCAAAGGTGCCTTAATGTTCATGATAGAATTGCTTAAAATTACAGTAATGAGAATAGTTTAAAAGACCAAAGTAAATATTAGCATTTCTGTATATCAGATGAAACATGATTTCAGTTGAAAACACCCTAAAGTATAGACCTTTTCTCCCGGGCAAACAAAGCCGTGCTGTGGAAGGGCTGGGCAGAGCAAACAAGAGCAGGCAGAGAGGAACTCCTGTGATGCGACACCAAGATAAATAAAGGTTATGAGCACATGAGCATTCTGGGTGCTAAGGTCACTTACTTAGTGACCTGCGCTTTCTTCCCTCCTCTGCATTTGGAAAAACAATTTCCCGCCATGCAAACTCTTTCCTGTACAGCAGATCTGACCCTCCTGCCAAACTCTCACTGACTGTTAAATTATGCACAGAAGGGGAAGGCATACTCACACGCCTTAGCTTCTGAATGTCTTCCTGGCCAAACATGGTTCCAGGTACTGGGAAACCATGAAGACGTTGCTGGTCCACGTACATGGTTTTCTTTGATATTCTTGTAAACAAAGAAGCTCAGTGACTTTACAGTACTGAATAAGTCGATACTGCTAACCCTCATGTCAGTAATGTCATCACATGGTGATTAGATGCTCTGGCCAGAGCCCAGGTGTATTCAGGCTACTGTTTTATATCTGTGTGATTTAAACAGTCACCCAAACTCACTGTGCTTCAGGTTCCACATTAGTAAAATGGGGCAATAGTAGTATTTTACTCATAGAGTTAGTGTAATAATTAATTACTATTATCATTATTCCCATAGTAAAAATGTGTGTGTGTGTGTGTGTGTGTGTGTGTGTGTGTGTGTGTGTGTATTCTAGTTATGCAATGTACTTAGGAACCAGTCTTCCAATAATTTTGTAGATTTCTCTTTTTTTTTTATTGCTTAAAGTATTACAAAGAGTATTACATATGTCTCCTTTTTTTTCCCCCCGCCCTTGACAATCCCCTGGCCTCCCCTACCCCCCCAGTGTCTTATGTCCATTGGTTATGCTTATATGCATGCATACTAGTCCTTCGGTTGATCTCTTACCCCTCCCTCCTCCCCACCCACCCTCCCCGTCCTTCCTGCTGTAGTTTGACAGTCTGTTCGAGGCAGCTCTGCCTCTGTATCTATTATTGTTCAAAAGTTTATAATGGTCTCTATTATCCATGAATGAGTGAGATCATGTGGTATTTTTCCTTCATTGACTGGCTTATTTTACTTAGCATAATGCTCTCCAGTTCCATCCATGCTGTTGCAAATGGTAAGATTTCCTTCTTTTTTACAGCAGCATAGTATTCCATCGTGTAGATGTACCACAGTTTTCTAATCCATTCATCTACTGATGGGCACTTAGGCTGTTTCCAACATTTATAGGGAACTCATACAACTCAACAAAAGGAAGATAAACAATCCAATCAAAAAATAGGCAAAGGACCTAAATAGACACCTTTTAAAAGAGGACATTCAGAAAGCCAAGAGACATATGAAAACATGCTCAAAGTCGCTAATCATCCGAGAGATGCAAATCAAAACAACAATGAGGTACCATCTCACACCTGTCAGACTGGCTATCATCAACAAATCAACAAACGACAAGTGCTGGAGAGGACGTGGAGAAAAAGGAACACTTGTGCACTGCTGGTGGGAATGCAGACTGGTGCAGCCACTATGGAAGACAGTATGGAGTTTCCTCAAAAAACTAAAAATGGAACTCCCATTTGACCCTGTGATCCCACTTCTAGGAATATATCCCAAGAAACCAGAAACACCAATCAGAAAGGATATATGCACCCCTATATTCATAGCAGCACAATTCACCATAATTTTGTAGATTTCATTTCCTAAACTTCAGTACTTGTTGGACAGTGAATGCATTACCACCACAGGTGATGGAATAAACAAGGGCGAGGGAGAAGTCAAGTATCATCTCCAGGGAGTACTGTCTCCTTATCGGGTTGCCTTCCTCTTCCACGGGCCCTTCTGTTGTTCATGATGACTCATTCTCTCACATGGAGTTCTATGGGAGGTTACATAAGAAGTGGTGCATGTTAGCATTGCTCGTTTTTCATATGCTTATGTTTAATGAAAACAAAAACCCAAAGGTTGTTTTCTATTCAAAGTAGAACATTAACCTTCAGGATGTCCTATAATGGTTTTTTCAGTTTCAGCTTTTTCCTGTAGCCAATTGCAGGCTCAGCCTCCCAGCAGCTCTCCCCATAGGCATGTCCATTTGTGACCTAAGAAAGTGCAATGCTCAGTATAACAATACGAATACAACAAAACATTGTAAAGATACTTTTAAGAAAAGGTGTTATTGCCACATTTTGATCATGATGCCACCTCAGTACATATGAAACACGATGTGATACATTAAAAAATCCAGTCTCCTTGTAACTTTTTAGAAGCCTCTCTATTGCATTAGTAAGAAACACCTGCATCCAAATAAACCTTAATTTACAAGACAGTCATTAGATCTTCATGCCATTTAAAAGCTGTTATAATTTAAGTTGTAAGTATGAAAGAAGCAATTTATAAAATGGCTTTTTAGGGCCTTTGACTATTTCTTTTCCCCAAAACTGTGAGATACAGTTTATCAACCACCAGGCACCGTTCTCCAGAGACAATCTCAGGAGATTCATCGCAGGACCTTCGCTCAGTGCAGGCGTGTGCTTGTGCAAAGCGCCCTTTCTGAGCTCTCGTGCTGGGTTGTGGGCACAGCAGTAGACTGGTGGGGCTGATGAGTGGCCAGCAGTTGAAATAGTGTGCATTCTCTTCCAGTCCTGGCAGCTGCCGTATTTGCCTTCCGAGCAGTCAACCTGATGGAGGTGACATCACTGGCTGCAGCTGAAGTAAGGATAAGTTTCACTCCGAAGGGATGGAAATAGCTCCTGAGGGCCTGCCAGCCTCGGGCACTCGAGTCTCAGATGCCTGAGACACACTTTACTCATAGCCTAGTTTTTTTAACGTGGGTAAAACCTGTAAGTTCTGAGCTAAGTAGTATTAGGTATTCAAAATTTCTTAATGACTTGAAAATAATCTTGTGAGAGAGTCATAAACAAGATTATTGTAGAAAGCCATTGTAATCATTATGGGAAACAATATACCTAGTAATTTTAATAAAAACTATTGGGTCTTATGTTGTGTTTCCTTAGTAGTGTTTACATCCATGTGTGAAGTTCATAAAACAAAGAAAAACTAGCTGAGATAGTTAAAGGGCATGTGTTTGGACGACATACTAATGATAAATGAGCTTTCTTGGTTGTTTTTAATTGTGAGTTAATTACTTAAAGCTGGTTTCTTTCCAATAGTATACCTGAAACATGGTTAAACAGTGGCTTGCCATATTACTCTATTTGTTATACGTTTTATCCTTAAAATAGCCGCCTACATTCTTTGTTTAAAGGGAAGAGGATGTTTATGCATCTTGCAACTGAATAAACATTAGTCCCATCTCGAAATTATTTCCTGAAGTCAGTTACTTCTTATACTACTACAACAGAATGAGGAATCCTAATGTACGTTTATTTATAGAAGCAAGTTGAAATGTTAGACCTCTTATAAACTCATGCTACCTTGTATATTTGAAGAAGGCTCAAGGCTAAAGTCCATGCTAGCATTTTGCACATGTTCTAACATTAAGCTACACAGAAAAGAAAAGGACCATTGTAGCTTTATTACAGAGGTTAGGACACATCTGGAGAATTTAGAGGGTGCGTCGATGCCAGCATAACATTGTGATGGCGTTTCTGTTGCCCCTTATTTCATAGGCTTCTCTTTGCTGATGAGAATACTGACAGTAATAATTCTTTTTGTTTTTTTGTTTCAGGCAGTTCTTGCTGACCTTTCTACTTTAAAAGTTATGCCTCTTCTTCAGATTTTTTTGTTTGCTACTGTCACCTGATCTTCTTCAAGGTCACTGACAACACATAAAGTTTTTCATTAGAAGCTAATCATGAACTATGCAAACTGCATAAAACCAAAATCCAATAACGATCATGTTCCCTCCTCAGTTAAACAAACCTAAGTCATTTTTTGCTTTTTGAAAAAAGAACTCAGCACACCAAATATTGCACTGCATGCTGCTGATTTTCAAGAGAGAAGCAATAGACTGAACTTCTGGCGACTTGAGTGTTCTATAGGTACAATCCTGACCTGTAAAAAGCATGCGACAACATATGCAATAAGAACTAAAGATGCTGTAATAAACTTGAAGAGGTAATGCAGCCTCTGGGACAATTCTCTTATGTCAGTTTGTAAATTTATCTCTAGATAATGTATTGTTTTATCTTATAAATTGCTCTTCACCCAGAACCGGGGGCGGGGTAGGATGTGGGAAGACTTGAAAAAGATAACGCTTTTAAGTAGAAATTCACATGTGCTTTGGTGTTTTTAACAATGTTCCCTTCCCCAGAGATTTTCTAGATCTCTCTCCACTTTATTTCTCACTTAATGTTTTGTACTAGGGGAGGTCAAATACAGTTGTGTCCACCTGCCAGTATTGTATTCATTATTTCCTGGGGTGGGGGAGAAAGTCAAAATTATGACATGATCTGTTCAAACTTCTCAACCTTCCATATCACAGCGATTAGAAGATGACACTGCTGAGGCCTGTTGCCAGATTCTGTTACTTTGGAGGATACCTAAGGATTCAATGAAGGGAATGAAATATCAAAACCATATTCGCTTTTGCTGATGGTTGGTTTAATGAGATTTACTTCTAGGGAGGAGCAGCTGCAAGACCAGCAATAGATACTAGACATTCCTTCCAGAACTGACGTCATGCAAGGCTCAATCTTATGTTGGTCTTTATTATAAGTGGAGGGTCTTATTGTATATTACTTCCCAAAGGCCTACCATTTCTGTAATTTGGAATAATAGTATGAAAAAAAGAAGTCCAAAACCATTCTTTTGATTTTAGGCTCAAATTCAAGATGCTGCTAGCAGAGGGGGTATAGCTCAGGGGTAGAGCATTTGACTGCAGATCAAATTCAAGATGCTGATCATTTTAACAAAACTCTAAATCAATATAGTGGAACCTTGTTTCTCGAACCATTTGCTTCTCAACCCGGCATCCCTTTCATGCTGATACTGTATGGTCAGTCACACATCTCTCGGGTGACAAGCAAAAGAGAGAATGCACGAATGAGTCAGTTTACCACTGTTAAAATCTCAGGATATTGTGCTGTGAATATTTTGGGGTTTTTTTTTTTTTGGCTTTTGTTGCTGCTCATATTATTGTTAAATTTCATTTTTTACTGTACATTTCCTTTCCTTTTTGTTAAATTTTCATTTACACTTCATGTCTTTTTTTGTTTTTAAAGTGCTTATTTATAGAATAAACAGTATCATAGATGTGTACTGTATATAAGAAAGGTTAAAACAGAATCATTTTGGGGTCTTGAATGGATTAATTCAATTTACATGATTTCTAATGGGAAAAAAATGATTTGGTTTTCAAACAACCTGCCAGAATGAATTAAGTTCGAGAAACGAGGTTTCACTGTATATCAACACTCTTACTGAATGCCTAGAATTGTATTGTTTTATCCAAATGTATTCATGAAACATTTATTTATATAGTATATATTAAGAAATACATGAGGCTTAGCACAATACTGCAAGTGTGGTGGAGTTTGGTATAGCTAGGTATTTGAAAATATTATGTGCTTTTATTCATCAGGTACTTACTGACTTACTAAGGACTAAATAATTTATTCAGCGGCTGATTCCTAATAAACCCATTGTATTGTTTTTGCAGGTGATGCAGTTAGGTCATATGCTTTGCCATTCTGTGTGTGCAAATGCACACTCTCCCTGAGGATAATGATGCGCACACCTATGACTCTTATCTCCCTCCTTCTCTCTCTGGGAAAATGAGAAATAACATGTAAGGAAGAGAGAGAATTTTAAACGACTATGGTCAAATTTATACAGAGACTCCCTTCATTGGCCTCTTTCTTTAGGAGAACGTTCATAAGCCTTTTTCAAAGCAGCAGTCTCATGGTCTAGCAGAAAAACACTAGGCTGGATAGTTTTGTTTCTACCTATAAGTCCCTCAATATTTTACTCTCTTATCTGCAATTAGGGGCAGGCAGGGAGGACAGACAGAAGGAAATTATCATATTTGCTCTGTGTACCTTCCAGGATTAAGTAAGAGCAAATGAGAAAATATATTTGAAAGGGACTTTTTAAACTGCAAAGCACCAAGCAAATATAAAATGTTGGTAATTAATTTTAACTATGGCATTTTGAGGTCAAGTGGTAGAAGCTAATATGTGAAGACTGTCCATCCTCATTAGCCTCTGGATGGCTTTATTTGATAATGTGAGACTATGTCTACAGAAAACAAACGTATCAGGGCATAGTCAGGTCCTTGCATTTGGGACAGGTGACTCCAGCCAGTCCTGGAGGCTGCAGGCATTCTGCTGCTGTGGCAAACCCCTCAGCCCTGCGCTGCTCTCGGATGCCTGTTAGAATACCGCATTCAGGGCAGTCGGCTGTCTTGCCCACTCCATCTCTAACTGCACCTCCTGCACTACCTCTGTTGGCTTCCTTCCTTCTGCATTCTCCTCACCGTCTCCTGCCATCCTCGAACACCTCCCACATCTGCTCTGCCAGAGCTCAGGAGGATCTGAGGGATCAGGGATGCTTATGTAATCATTCTGCCTACGGCATTGCACTGATGGTGAAATAGACTAAGAGACTAAGTTATATTTGGTTCTTCTGGATTTCAGTTCCCCCACTAATGTAATACGTGTGACCTTTTAGAAGAGTTTATTGAACAGTCTCCTTGATCAGAACACTTGGTAATGCAGCATTCTGGCTAGTTGAAATTTCCCGCTTATCATAGCTGCACAGACCCCCGGACACTCAGCAAGTACTCTTTCTTTCTATTTCGTAGAGAAAAGAGAGCCCTTCAGCCTTAACTCCCTCGCAGCCCTCCACTTCACAACTTAGCTTTATCCCCCTTATACTCACCTCCTTCCTTCTTATCTCAGGAAATGTCTACTCTATTCCCGCAGCTCTCTACTAGTTTATGCAGATTCAACGGGCCACTTACATGCGTAAGTTAAATGATCCCACTGCTTAACAGATAAAGTCCAGACCCTGTAGCAAGGCAGGGAAATGCTCTACAGCTCGGTCGATCCGTTGCTGTGCTCCCACACTGCTACGATCCTGTACTTCAGCCTCACAGATTACACGCTGATCCTCAACCAGCCAAGCCCATCCACTTTGTCTCGTCAGGAACTCCCTTTGTCAAGGCCCCACTCAAACACCTTCTCTATTGTGATGACACCCCAGAGCTGTCAATTAGAATTAATTAGGCCCTTCTCTTTGTTCTCATAAAACTATTCACCCACTCATGTGGTGCTTGGAATATTGAGTGATCGCTTTTTGTATACATGTTCTAATTCTCACATCACTTTTTTCTCAAGTCAGTTTTCATGGACTAGCTCTAGTATGGAATATGAAAGAAGAAAATTATCCTATGCGTTTGTATCCGAGGACTTGTTCTGAAAATTATCGGCATCTGTTTTTCTTAAAACATCATTTTTCCTCTATTTTTTATTTGGTAATCTAACCCCTGCCCCATGAATTTCAGGTGAGGCTGACTCCTACCCCCAGGACTCTGGGTCCTCGCCACGCCAGTCACCATATGCTATCCTTCTAGCCACCGGGATTGCTTCAGGATCAGTGCAAAATCTAAGACCAATGAGGACCAATGAAACTTGATTATGAGGCTTTGGTTTAATCATTCAGGGAAGCTGGATATAGGATCTGGATCTGCTGCAGCCTAGGAATGGAAAGGGTGAAAAGCTGTTCTGTTGACCTGTTGATGTCCAGGTCACACTCCACCAGTCTACCCTGGACTGTTTCATCACAGGAGCCAAAAGATTCTCTTTGCAGCAGAGAGGATCCTAACTGAAGTACAGTTATTTGATTCATTGTATCATGAGAATCATTATTTGGTAGCACCCATGTCTATATATTTTAAGCAAGAGGAATCTTTTTTAACTTTTTAAATCAAGACCCAGCCTGACCTTACAAGCATAAATTCTATGTTCCACACCTACTAAGCTACCTGAAGTACCCTGAACACATAGTAGGTCTCTCTGCGTTGGCCCTGCGCCCATACAGCACCTTGTGCGTGGAACGCCTTCTCTTTCCTCTTAACTCTTACTTGTACCTCAAAACCCAACTCAGGTGTTGCATCAGGGAACACTGCTTCTCTTATGAATTCCCCTCATACCCTAAATATACATAGTTGTACCATAATCTTATACTATGTGATTGTCTTTCTCTTCTACTGGACTGTGACTCCTTAAGGCAAAAATGGTTCCTTTCTCAACTTTATGTCTCTAGAGCCTGGTGTAGTGCTTGCCTCATGGTGGGCTTTAATGTTTTCTGAATGAATGGATGAAATCATCCAGTAGCATAATCCACTCACTCTACTGATGAGGAAACTTGCTCAGTTCCGAATAATAACATACTTGTCCAATATCACACAACTATTTTTACCAACAAAGATTTGTGAGTTGTCTGGGAAGGTCCAAAAGGGAAAAATATTTTGAGTGAAAAAACAAAACACATGTAAATGCTTAAGCTCATGCAATATTTCTCATTTCTATCAACTTCACTAAGGTATAGCCTATGGAGAATAAAATGTATGTACTTTAAGTATACAGTTCTCTAAGGTTTGACAAATGTATATTCCCACACCACCACTATCACAATAAGGCACAGAACTTTCATCACCTAAATCAATTCCCGTTATGCCCCTTCCCATTCAGTCCCCCATATACACATTCACTCCACACAACCACTGATATGCTTCTGTCCCTAAAGATTAGATTGGTCTTTGCTAGAGGTTCATGTACATGGAATCACATATATCTATATATTTTTTTCTTTTGTTTTTGGCTTCCTTTACTCAGCATAATGTTTCAAGATTCATCCATGTTGTTGTGTAATTAGTAGTCCATTTCTTTTTATCACTGAGTAATATTTCATTGTATGACTATTTCACAATTGGTTTATATGTTATTGTTAATAGACATCCATGTTGTTCTTGTGTTTCAGTGTATTATGGATACAGCTACTATAAACATTTGTGCACAAGCCTTCATGTGGACATATATCTTCATTTATTTGGGGTAAATACCTAGGAGTGAATTTGCTGGGTCATATCTCAGCATAAGTTTAACCTTTCTAAGAGATCTCCAAACTTGTTCTGAAGTAGTTCTACCATTTTACATCCCCACTCACAGTGCAAAAGAGCGCTAGTTGCTCCAAGTCCTCACCGACTCTCACTATTATGTTAGCCATTCCAATAGGTGATTTCAATTTGCATTTCCTTAATTACTAATGATGTTGGGCATCTTTTCATACTTATTTTCCACTTACACATTATTCTTTTGTAAAGTGCTCAAATCTTTTGCCCAATTCTTTATTCTGGGTACACTGCCAGGTTGTAAATTTTTCTCCCAGCCTATAGGCTAGTCTCTTCATTTTCTCAACTATTTTTAAAGAGCAAACATTTTCATTTTGTTGAGTTCAGTTTATCCTTTTTTTTTTTTAATGATTCACATTGTGTGTCCTCTCTAAGAAATCTTTGCATAACTCAGTCACAGATTTCCCCCCCCACACCCCCCGTTTTCTTCTAGAAACTTTATCATTTAGCTCTTACTTTTAGGCCTCTGATCCTTTCATTTTTTAGTTAATTTTTGTGTGTGATATAAGTTAAAGGTTGAGGATCCTGTTTTTGCATTATAGATATATGATTATTCCGACACCATTTGCTGAAGAAGAAAAAAGCACACCCTGTCTTTTCCCTTTTATAATAGCACCTCTATAAAATCAATTCATCACATATTTGTGGGCTTATTTCTTGATTCCATTCTGTTTCATGGTTATATGTCTATCCTGATTCCAATACCACATAGTCTTGATTTTTATAGTTTTAGAATAAATCTGGAAATCAAGTGATTTTCTTTACCTATGTAAAAAGTATTTTGACTATTCTAAGTTCTTTGCATTTCTAAATAATTTTTGCAATCAGATTTTCCATTTGTACTAAAAGAAAAAAGCTGCTGTGATTCTTATTGAGATAGTATTGAATCTAAAGATCAGTTTGGGGGCAATTGATACCT